TCTTCATACTTCATTCATCACAATTCTAAGACGGGTCTCGTTGCTAACTTATGAACTCTTTCGAACGTTTTCATATTACTTTTAGATGGGGCTCCAAGATGGGGCGGCGTACTCTAAAACAAGATGAGTACACACACACAGCACAACTGTTAACACAAAGTTTGTTGTCACAACTTCTCTCTACACCAGGGATCCCCACACTACCCTCCCCCATCACCAGTACTCCACACACTACCCTCCCCATCACCAGTACTCCCCCACACTACCCTCCCCATCACCAGTACTCCCCACACTACCCTCCCCATCACCAGTACTCCCCCACACTACCCTCCCCATCACCACTACTCCCCCACACTACCCTCCCCATCACCACTACTCCCCCACACTACCCTCCCCATCACCACTACTCCCCCCACACTACCCTTCCCATCACCAGTACTCTCCCCACACTACCCTCCCCATCACCAGTACTCCACACACTACCCTCCCCATCACCAGTACTCCCCACACTACCCTCCCCATCACCAGTACTCCACACACTACCCTCCCCATCACCAGTACTCGACACACTACCCTCCCCATCACCAGTACTCGACACACTACCCTCCCCATCACCAGTACTCCCCACACTACCCTCCCCATCACCAGTACTCCCCCACACTACCCTCCCCATCACCAGTACTCCCCCACACTAACCTCCCCATCACCAGTACTCCAAACACTACCCTCCCCATCACCAGTAGTCCCCCACACTACCCTCCCCATCACCAGTACTCCCCCACACTACCCTCCCCATCACCAGTACTCCCCCACACTACCCTCCCCATCACCAGTACTCCACACACTACCCTCCCCATCACCAGTACTCCCCACACTACCCTCCCCATCACCAGTACTCCCCACACTACCCTCCCCATCACCTGTACTCCCACACACTACCCTCCCCATCACCAGTACTCCCCACACTACCCTCCCCATCACCTGTACTCCCACACACTACCCTCCCCATCACCAGTACACCCCACACTACCCTCCCCATCACCAGTACTCCCCCCACACTACCCTCTCCATCACCAGTACTCCCCACACTACCCTCCCCATCACCACTACTCCCCCACACTACCCTCCCCATCACCAGTACACCCCACACTACCCTGTAACAAACTAGGCTGGTTGTGAGAATTATTCCAGAAGGTTCCAGAAGTTTCGTGTAGGGACCTGACCTTCAACAACACACATTCCCCTGGGGATTAGCAGGTCTGAGTCACAAATGGCGGGCGTCTCTGTTCATAGTTGCGTATAATGAATCATCCTATAGTATTCAGTAATTTAGAGAAATTAGCCTTTATTCATTTTGTATTAAAATTGTATTGTGTAAAATTACTGGGTACGATATCAAGAGTATTCTAATTATTGAGTTAAGTCACCATCAGTGACATCACGAATCAGATCTAAGTTGTAAGGCGGAGTGACCTGGCGGTCATTGGTCATCAGTGTTGACATGTCTACTATTTCTCAAAGTTCAATTAACCATTTTGGGGAACGGGAACAGCTCGGCCGTTAGATGCTTGTGTAATTTAATTTCAGTAAATTCAACCAGTCTGGATCAATTCAGTACAAACAGAGGTTAATTGTTATAACTTAAACCTGGCTAAGTAACTGGGTAAGAGATGCGGAACAATACAATGCTCTAGTCTGGGGTAGACCAGACGAGGAGAGATCAGTGTGGACTCCAGATCAACTGGGGGAGGTCAACCCATCTCACCTCTCCCCCAAGACCAGCCCAACATCTTCAGCTGGTAAAACATAGAGGTATAGTTGCTATTGTTATTTATAGGGATAGTCTTCTCATTGCCGTTCAGGTCAAGTAGGGAGTGTTAAAGTGACAGGGAGTGAACATATTTAGATTTTGTTTTAGTTTCTTTTAATAAATTAATTAGTTAATATTTTGCATTTTTATTATTTCCATGTGTATGTTCAAGTTATGTGAACTTGTCCTGGTCACGTGGTCCACACGAGGCAGAGTTGAATTGGGCGCCGATTCTAACATCGAATCTGAATTCATCATCCCCGTCTAATTAATTCCACACTCAAGTTTCCGAGGTTATAAACTACTAGTGGGGATCAAGCCCCAAGGTTGATTAATTAGCATGATCGATCCAGACCTCGATCATTGCTCTGTGTTACTGGTCTGGTGGTGGCGGCGGAGGCGACTCTAGGGTTTTGCTCAAAGCCTAGGTCACGTCATACGGGTTGTAGAATCCTAAGTCGGTCAATCGTCTTAGGACTACGTGGCGTGGAGTCGGCTTTAGTAAAAGTTTTGGAGTCCCTTGTAGAGAATAAAAAGTAAGAATACGGGTAGAGGGAAAAGAAGAAGGAAAGATAAGTAGAGAACACCCTACCCGTGTTACAACCCTCCCCATCACCAGTACTCCCCCCACACTACCCTCCCCATCACCAGTACTCCCACACACTACCCTCCCCATCACCAGTACTCCCACACACTACCCTCCCCATCACCAGTACTCCCCCACACTACCCTCCCCATCACCAGTACTCCCACACACTACCCTCCCCATCACCAGTACTCCCCCACACTACCCTCCCCCATCACCAGTACTCCCCCACATTACCCTCCCCATCACCACTACTCCCCCACACTACCCTCCCTATCACCAGTACTCCCCCACACTACCCTCCCCATCACCACTACTCCCCCACACTACCCTCCCCATCACCACTACTCCCCCGCACTACCCTCCCCATCACCAGTACTCCACACACTACCCTCCCCATCACCAGTACTCCACACACTACCCTCCCCATCACAAGTACTCCACACACTACCCTCCCCATCACAAGTACTCCCCCCACACTACCCTCACCAGTACTCCCCCACACTACCCTCCCCATCACCACTACTCCCCCACACTACCCTCCCCATCACCACTACTCCCCCACACTACCCTCCCCATCACCACTACTCCCCCACACTACCCTCCCCATCACCAGTACTCTCCCCACACTACCCTCCCCATCACCTGTACTCCCCACACTACCCTCCCCATCACCAGTACTCCACACACTACCCTCCCCATCACCAGTACTCCCCCCACACTACCCTCACCATCACCAGTACTCCCCCACACTACCCTCCCCATCACCACTACTCCCCCACACTACCCTCCCCATCACCAGTACTCTCCCCACACTACCCTCCCCATCACCTGTACTCCCCATCACCAGTACTCCACACACTACCCTCCCCATCACCTGTACTCCCCACACTACCCTCCCCCATCACCAGTACCCCCCCCCCACACTACCCTCCCCATCACCAGTACTCCCCCACACTACCCTCCCCATCACCAGTACTCCCCTCCCCATCACCAGTACTCCCCTCCCCATCACCAGTACTCCCCCAAACTTCCCTCCCCATCACCAGTACTCTCCCCACACTACCCTCTCCATCATCAGTACTCCACACACTACCCTCCCCATCACCAGTACTCCACACACTACCCTCCCCATCACCAGTACACCCCACACTACCCTCCCCATCACCAGTACTCTCCCCACACTACCCTCCCCATCACCAGTACACCCCACACTACCCTCCCCATCATCAGTACTCTCCCCACACTACCCTCCCCATCACCTAGATGGGGAGGGTATCATCATCACCTGCTAGAATCCCCCATCACCTGCTAGAATCCACCCAGTAAAACATCTAAATTACTGGGACCGACTAAAGAGCCTAAATCTGTACTCCCTTGAGCGCAGGCGGGAGAGATACATAATAATTTACACGTGGAAAATAATTGAGGGGCTGGTCCCAAACCTGCACACAGAAATAACACCACATGAGACCAGAAGACATGGCAGGATGTGCAGAATACCCCCGTTGAAAAGCAGAGGTGCAACAGGTACTCTGAGAGAGAACTCTATCAACATCAGAGGCCCGAGACTGTTCAACACGCTTCCACTACACATAAGGGGCATAACTGGCAAACCCCTCACAGTGTTCAAGAGAGAACTGGATAAGCACCTCCAAAGGATACCTGATCAACCAGGCTGTGACTCATACGTCAGGCTGCGAGCAGCCGCGTCTAACAGCCTGGTTGATCAGTCCAGCAACCAGGAGGCCTGGTCGACGACCGGGCCGCGGGGACACTAAGCCCCGGAAGCACCTCAAGGTAGGTATCACCAGTACTCCCCCACACTACCCTCCCCATCACCAGTACTCCACACACTACCCTCCCCATCACCAGTACACCCCACACTACCCTCCCCATCACCAGTACACCCCACACCACCCTCCCCATCACCAGTACTCTCCCCACACTACCCTCCCCATCACCAGTACACCCCACACTACCCTCCCCATCACCAGTACTCTCCCCACACTACCCTCTCCATCACCAGTACTCCACACACTACCCTCCCCATCACCAGTACTCCACACACTACCCTCCCCATCACCAGTACTCCCCACACTACCCTCCCCATCACCAGTACTCCCCACACTACCCTCCCCATCACCAGTACTCCGCACACTATCCTCCCCATCACCAGTACTCCCCTCCCCATTACCAGTACTCCCCCCACACTACCCTCCCCATCACCAGTACTCCACACACTACCCTCCCCATCACCAGTACTCCACACACTACCCTCCCCATCACCACTACTCCCCCACACTACCCTCCCCATCACCAGTACTCTCCCCACACTACCCTCTCCATCACCAGTACTCCACACACTACCCTCCCCAGTACTCCACACACTACCCTCTCCATCACCAGTACACCCCACGGTACCCTCCCCATCACCAGTACTCCCTTCCCATCACTAGTACTCCCCACACTACCCTCCCCATCACCAGTACTCCACACACTACCCTCCCCATCACCAGTACACCCCACGGTACCCTCCCCATCACCAGTACTCCCCACACTACCCTCCCCATCAGAGTCCAACACTGCTGCAGGTGTGCTCACCTCTGGCCATAGTGGTGAGGTGGCCGCCCTCGCTGGCCAGGTCGCACACACCTGCAGGAGACACAAGACCACAGGTTACATGACGTCATATACACACCTGCTCTACTCAGGTTAATGAACAATATTCTAATGAACACTTTATCCTAAAGAACACAATCCTTATGAATAATTTATTCTTATGAACACTTTATCCTAATTAATACTTTATCCTTACGAATACTTGAAAACTTTATTCTTATGAATACTTGAAAACTTTATCCTTATGAATATTTGAATTCTTTATCCTTATGAATACTTGACTACTTTATCCTTATGAATACTTGACTACTTTATCCTTATGAATACTTGACTACTTTATCCTTATGAATACTTTATCCTTATGAATACTTGAAAACTTTATTCTTATGAATACTTGAAAACTTTATTCTTATGAATACTTGAAAACTTTATTCATATGAATACTTGAAAACTTTAGTCTTATGAATACTTGAAAACTTTATTCTTATGAATGCTTTATCCTAATGAACATTTTATGGTAATCAAGAGGTCATGTAGAGGAAGATGAGTGTGGAGGACCCTGCAGGCACCGGGCTCGGGTCTCATGAGCCGCCTCTCTACCAGTACTCATCAAACATTCTTAGAAATGTATAAAAAATAATCTAAAAAATTATAAAATATTATAAACAATAATAATATAATATAATTAAATAATGATAATAATATAATTAAATAATGATAATAAAATATAATTCAACAATAATAATATAATATAATTAAACAATAATAATATAATATAATTAGACAATAATAATAAAATATAATTAAACAGTAATAATATAATATAATTAAACAGTAATAATATAATATAATTAAACAGTAACAATAAAAATATAATTCTTCCAACTTCCACAATCATCAGTAAACCAACTACCACCATTATAACAACAACAACTACAACCACCATTAAAACCACTATCACAAACAACATTAAAACTACCACAATATTAAAAACGGCAACCACCATTAAACCACAACTACCATTATAACCACTAACACAACCAACACAAAAACTACCACAATCACCATTACAACAATTACACAACCACCATCTTCAGGTTATCTTGAGGTGATTTCAGGGCTTTTAGTGTCCCCGCGGCCCGGTCCTCGACCAGGCCTCAACCCCCAGGAAGCAGTCCGTGACAGCTGACTAACACCCAGGTACCTAATTTTACTGTTAGGTAACAGGAGCATAGGGTGAAAAAAACTCTGCCCATTGTTTCTCGCCGGCGACTGGGATTCGACCACAGGAGCACAAGTCCAGTGTGCTGTCCGCTCGGCTCCGACCATTACACAACCACCATTCAAAAAATAATAGAAAACAAGTAAATGACAAATTTCTCCTTTCCTATCCTCCCTTGTGGCCTGGGGAGATCCGTACTGGGGCCTCAGGGGGAGATGGGTACTGGGGCCTCAGGGGGAGATGGGTACTGGGGCCTCAGGGAGGGGTGCTACTGGACCTCTCGCCGGAAACCCTTAATTTCCAGATGTAAATTTAGAAAGTAATCTTTGGGTGTGGTGAAAGTCATATCCCAACTCACTCTCGCTCCCTCTGGACCTCTTCCTTGCTTCGCGTTAGTTCTCTCTATTAAAACGCTTGGCACGTTTTTTTATACATGAACACAAAGCACTGTTTATGTAAATTACCTCAGCGCTATTTAGCTAGAGTGCTCCGAATGTTGTTCAGAGTACAGTGATGTTCATGATAGCATACTGACTAAAATGTCAGTATACTATCTGAACTTTAATACACAGAAATACTTTAATGCACAGTATTGAATAATGTTCTTTAAACATTGATGAACATGAACAGTGTACTACAATGAATAATGCTTTATTGAAAAATAAACAATGACGAATAATGTTTATCTCAGAGTACACATTTTTATACAGACAAGGTGAAAAGAATTACGTATATATCAAGACCAACAAGAGAGAATGTTTATCTGTCATGCGTATGAGGCCAGACGCTTCATGTAAACATGCAGGCGGAACGGTCTGAGGTAAAGGACGGATATAGGCTGGTTGTGGGTCGCCAGAACTCCTGAGGAAACAGCGTGCCAGAGAACATTCCAACCCCCACAACGATTTTTATCACCACTTACCAGCATATTTGTTTCTTATTAAACTTCTATATATAAAATAGTGTATATATATTATATCCACTACTATTATATATATCCTTATGAATACTTTATCCTTATGAATACTTGAATACTTTATCCTTATGAATGCTTTATCCTAATGAACATTTTATTGTAATGAAGAGGTCATGTAGAGGAAGATGAGGGTGGAGGACCCTGCAGGCACCGGGCTCGGGTCTCATGAGCCGCCTCTCTACCAGTACTCATTAAACATTCTTAGAAATATATAAAAAATAATCTAAAAATTTATAAATTATAAACAATAGTAATATAATATAATTAAACAATAATAATAAAATATAATTAAACAATAATAATATAATATAATTAAACAATAATAAAATATAATTATATTTTATTATTATTGTTTAATTATATTATTATTGTTTAATTAAACAATAATAATATAATATAATTAAACAATAATAATAAAATATAATTAAACAATAATACTATAATATAATTAAATAATGATTATAAATATATTTAAACAATAATAATATAATATAATTAAATAATGATAAGAAAATATATTTAAACAATAATAATATATAATTAAATAATCATAATAAAATAAAATTAAACAATAATATAATTAAACAATGATAATAAAATATAATTAAACAATAATAATATAATTAAATAATAATAATAAAATATAATTAAACAATAATATAATATAATTAAACAATAATATAATATAATTAAACAATAACAATAAAAATATAATTCTTCCAACTTTCACAACTATCAGTAAACCAACTACCACCATTATAACAACAACAACAACCACCATTAAAACCACTATCACAACCAACATTAAAACTACCACAACCACAATATGAAAAACAGCAACCACCATTGAAATAGCACAACTACCATTATAACCACTAACACAACCAACACAAAAACTACCACAACCACCATTACAACAGTTACACAACCACCACTACAACAACCACTATTCAAAAAATAATAGAAGACAAATAACACTGGATACTGGGGAGATGGGTACTGGGGCCTGGGGAGATGGGTACTGGGGCCTCAGGGGAAGATTGGTACTGGGGCCTCAGGGAGGGATGGGTACTGGGGCCTCAGGGGGAGATTGGTACTGGGGCCTCAGGGAGGGATGGGTACTGGGGCCTCAGGGGGAGATGGGTACTGGGGCCTCAGGGGGAGATGGGTACTGGGGCCTCAGGGGGAGATGGGTACTGGGGCCTCAGGGGGAGATGGGTACTGGGGCCTCAGGGGGAGATGGGTACTGGGGCCTCAGGGGGAGATGGGTACTGGGGCCTCAGGGGGAGATGGGTACTGGGGTCTCAGGGGGAGATGGGTACTGGGGGCTCAGGGGGAGATGGATACTGGGGCCTCAGGGGGAGATGGATACTGGGGCCTCAGGGGGAGATGGGTACTGGGGCCTCAGGGGGAGATGGGTACTGGGGCCTCAGGGGGAGATGGGTACTGGGGCCTCAGGGGGAGATGGGTGCTGGGGCCTCAGGGGAAGATGGGTACTGGGGCCCCAGGGGGAGATGGGTACTGGGGCCTCTGGAAGGAAAGGGTACTGGGGCCTCAGGGAGGGAAGGGTACTGGGGCCTCAGGGAGGGAAGGGTACTGGGGCCTCAGGGAGGGAAGGGTACTGGGGCCTCAGGGAGGGAAGGGTACTGGGGCCTCAGGGAGGGATGGGTACTGGGGCCTTAGGAAGGGATGGGTACTGGGGAGAGATGGAGGGTGCTACTGGACCTCTCGCCGGAAACCCTTAATTTCCAGATGTAAATTTAGAAAGTAATCTTTGGGTGTGGTGAAAGTCATATCCCAACTCTCTCTCTCGCTCCCTCTGGACCTCTTCCTTGCTTCGCGTTAGTTCTCTCTATTAAAACGCTTGGCACGTTTTTTTATACATGAACACAAAGCACTGTTTATGTAAATTACCTCAGCGCTATTTAGCTAGAGTGCTCCGAATGTTGTTCAGAGTACAGTGATGTTCATGATAGCATACTGACTAAAATGTCAGTATACTATCTGAACTTTAATACACAGAAATACTTTAATGCACAGTATTGAATAATGTTCTTTAAACATTGATGAACATGAACAGTGTACTACAATGAATAATGCTTTATTGAAAAATAAACAATGACGAATAATGTTTATCTCAGAGTACACATTTTTATTCAGATAAGGTGAAAATAATTACGCATATATCAAGACCAACAAGAATGTTTATCTGTCATGCGTATGAGGCCAGACGCTTCATGTAAACATGCAGGCGGAACGGTCTAAGGTAAAGGACGGACATAGGCTGGTTGTGGGTCGCCAGAACTCCAGAGGGAACAGCGTACCAGAGAACATTCCAACCCCCACAACGATTTTTATCACCACCCACCAGCATATTTTTTCTTATTATACTTCTATATACAATATAGTGTACAGTGTATGAGTACAGTGTGTGTCAAGAACTAGCTACACTAGTTCCTGTTAATAAAACAAAACAAAATAAAAGGCAGGCAGGCTGGGCGCGTGCAAGTCTACGGGACCCGCCCGCCAATATTCACTTACTCGCCCCGCAACACTTGCCCTCCATCACCCCGACATTAAGCCCCTTAACACCTCCCTCCGTGAACCAGTCAAGACCGCCTCTCGGAACTGATGACTCCCCCGACCCTTACTTTTGTAGAGAGGGAGAGGGAGAAGGAGAGGGAGGGGAGAGAAATTGTTCCCTCCCTTGATGTTTATTAATGTCTGATATACACATTTGCCCAAACAAACACATACACACACTTAAACACACACACACACTCACACAAATAGATGAGTACACACACACACACAAATAGGTTAGTATAGGTTAGT